AAAATTCACCATAAGAATGTATCATTCTTTTTTTGATCGCGAGCATAGTTTGAACTCATGTTGTAATGAAGTTGTAATTGTGCATCTTGTGATGTGATTCTTTTTGTAGCAAACCATTCTTAATCACTGATATAATTCGATTTAATCGAGTCCACATTGTTATTGATATGTAACCCATGTTACAACGAGAGTGTAAATCAGACCACCTTAACTACGTAAAATGTAGTTAGGAAATTTTAAAACTGGCGCCAGAACGTTAAAGCATTGTCTCATATATATAAACTGGTCAGAAATGACGGACAATGATTGGTATAATCTAGGATATTTTTTTTTGAAGTAGAAAACATAAAATGCGTCCTGGGGCGGTGTATACTGTACAAATTTACGATCATAAGCAATTAAATCTTACCTTCGAAACTTGAATTATAACAAAAGTGCATACTTGCAATCGTGTCCTCCACCGCTATTGCCAGTGTTAATAAAGGAGTAATGAAGTTTTCTGTGAGCCACATTGCCTATTAGATAAAATATGTTCCTTGTATTGAAAATTGTAGCTTTCCACTCAAATTAATTTATTTTGCAAATGCTACAAATATAACCAGGGAGCAGACTGGCAGCGTCTTGAAAAAAATCGCGATAAATGTGGTAACAACTGCTATGCAGGAAAAGAAAAAAAACATTGCCGTTTTCGGGACTTTTCGGTGCTTTTAATTTTTCATAATTTGGCCCATGCGCAGCCGTTTTCCTGCCGTCTTAGTTGGGAAAACTGGCTAACCGCAGCCAACTGAATAAATATATAATTATAATTTATACATGCAGCACCGATTGAATTGCTCAGTACATAAAGTTTTTTACTAACTATTCTCGATCTATTCAATGTTGAATTGCTGTAAAACAAAATCTTTACTTTAATTAAAATGTCGTGAAATTTACAAATGAAATTTCAACTTGAAATATATATAGTTAAATTTGAACAAAGTTTCTTTAAATGCAATGTCTTGTGCGGACTGTTAATAAACGATTTGTTTACGCACTATTTTTTATTGATAAACTGCTATTTTTTTATAATGTGGCAACATATTTCTGAAACTAATTGAGTAGCTAATTGAAAAAGGTGTTCATTTAAAAGATATTCTCCTCGAAGTTATTCCCCTATCGCAAAACTTTAGAAAATAATCAAATTTAGAGTTTTTATCAAGTTCGTTGGGTTGTTAGGAAATATTAAAGTAAAGTTTACTTAAGTGTCACTGTTTACGGGTATATTTGTAATGCTATCAATACCTCATAACATAAGTAGTTTTATCCGGTATAACTCTTCTGAAAGGTGCTTTTGAAAACCGGAATTCCGATGAGATTCTAGGTTCCCGATGTTCATTGTCAAATGTAATCGAATTTATTGAACAATGTTCAAACGGAAAAAAAGCGAACTGGATACGAAATCCCATGCAAGGCATTCCTCCGATTCCATGCATATACAAAAACAAATAACACACAGGAAAAACATAAATTATATAGCTGCACGCATCGAAGAATAAGCATATGCCACAAGCTGGAAAATCAAGTTGTTGATTTCCCTTTTTTTGGAAAATATCTAAGATAAGATAGTTGCTTAAGATGATTTAAGAAACAAATAAATAATTTCGAATCAGACTATAGCATATGTCCTCTTCGCATGTTAATTAAGCTCTATGACATGAACCGGTTCTGTGCAATGACAATGCATGTACAGGGCATTTCGACGTCGTAATAAGACACTAATGAATGTAAATACGTTCTTGATAGAAACGATCTGAACATTGCCAGGCTACAAAGGTCTGAGGGTTGAGCAGTTCTACAGACACAGTTCCATAGAACTGCTCAACCCTCAGACATACGTAGCCTGGCAATGTTTAGATAGTTTGAAGTCTATTATTAACTTTTTTTATCTTAAAACCTGACACTCAAACCAAACAATTTTCTAATCACCACCTCACCTTATGTTGGTAATTCTAGTATCTGCTCTTGCCGTATGTATAAGCTGATTTTCCCGACGTAAAGGACAATTCGATTTCTGCAGTTGTCACCGCAGGTGTTCAGTAGCACGCAAGCGTTAAAATACGTCTTATTACTAATCAACTTAAATACGTCTTATTGCTAAGCAACTTAAAAAATAAACTTTGTTATTTTTAATATAAGCTTTTGCCGTGTCCTTACATTCACTTATAGAAGTTACTGCCACCTGCAATAATGACGCACTACCTTAGTTCAGTAAAGTCCAATTTGCATGAAATATAATAATTAGTTGAGGTGCCTTATGTTAACTATTGGATGTTGTTAATACGTCCCAAACCCATTTCCCACTTCGAATTTTTGAAAAATTCCAGTCCCGAATGGACTTTTATAAGAAAAACCACACTGATTGATTGTAAACAACCTTTAAAAGGGTCGAAATCCTAGTTATTAGAACTGAATCCCATTTTCTCAAGATATACAGCAACCCAGTTTCCATGTTACCGCTTCAGGGCTCTGTTAATAATTAGGAGCTAATATAAATATGATAACAAGCTTTGATATCATGACTCTTGCACTGTTTGTTCAAAAAATTGCGTCGCTATGACAACTAGCTGCGTTTTTACTTTTAGAGTTTTCGTTCTTTAGATTTTGACAAATTTAACAATAATTTCTGTCTTTTGTAACATAATCTTCTTTTAATTCGCTACAGCTGATATTGGTTACATTGGTCAGTTGACATTTACTAAGCATTTGCTACTGAGCATTTTCTGTTGTTCTCTAATTGAATCCAACCCAGTGATGGACCACTTAAAATTGGAAATCGGTCTGACAGACATTTCATAAGATGTTTTCGATATGATCATTGTGTTGTCGTTCTCATCTCTTCATAGCATTCCGTTGGAAAGCGAACGGCAAACACGATTGTATTTTTTTCCTTGCGGTCGTCTGCCGTTTCTGTCGATCGACCGAAACCGAGCAGCACCCGCAGTTTTAGGAAATTTCTAGACAGTACTGTACATGGAATATTTTTATGACGGGTCAAAGTGATAATTTCGGTTTGGTTGGTCGTGTCAAACTTTTTGCAACGCGACATACGTCTACGTCGCTAGTGCATCATTAGGTCGGGAACATACAACCTACATGTTTCTATCGAAAATTTGATAAGAATATTATCTCGAACAGTGTTGAATCTGTTTCCCATAATTCCTGGTCGGAATGTTTATTCCACAAACCTCCAAATTTCAGACATTCATTTCAGACAATTGTGAGCGTTGAATTTAGGTTTGGTGGAAAACGTGGACTGTAACGGTTGACGATGTTGCACAACACATATTACATACAAAAGAGAGCTGTGAGCGTTGAATTTAGGTTTAGTGGAAAACGCGGACTTTAGATTGCGGAATCATGAGTGTTCTATTCAGTCATTGCAAAATGTGTAATGGTTTGCTTGTGGGAGCATAATCATTAACCACTGCATGCGTATGCCTATCCCGCTCAACAAAACACCGATCTAAAAACGTCTATTATTTATAGCCACGTTACTATTTATCGGGGTTATAAATCATGATCAACACTGAGTTCTTTCGCCGTATAATTTGTTACAAATTAGTTAAAGATTGTAAATTTAAAATTCAAACTGTGATCATAACCTTGTACCCAGGGTGCTGTGATCATAGAACTTTAACAGCGTAAGCGGCATTACAGTTATTCCGAATAGGATGCAACAGCTTCCTATTTTGAACGAACTGAAACAAAAGCGTCTCCACGAAGGGCGTTTTGAATCGTGTTAAATAACTTTTAGTGTTTTTGCACAAGTGAATATTCCAAATCCTGCATTCCGATTGGTCAAATTTGACGTATTATGCTGTTATATTTACTTTCAGGTGAACAATTATAACAAATTTCAAAATTGGGGTTAGCCGTTTTGTGGACGTCTCTTACAAAGAGATAAGCGAACAAATGCAGTTCTTGTGTCAATTCACTTGTGTAAAAATACTAAAACAAATATCCGCCTTCCGCAAGTAATCGTTAAATATTCCGGGCAGCGGCTGGCTTATTATGACAAATTTAAGAATGAGGCTGCCCGCTTATCTACGTCATCACTGACGTGTCAAATGAGGTATTTTAGAAAATTTTCTAACCCACAAGCTAACTAAAAAGTATGGTTGGGATTACATTTTAGAATAAAATTAATTTAAGAGTAAAATAAATAGGAATATAAATAAGAGCGAAAAAGCTCTGAAACTTTGAAATACTTAACAGTAATTTAATACTGTGTAATATGCCTCAAATATGTGTCCAATTGTTATTTCTAATAATAATTTTAATATAAATATATTTTAATTTAACCAAGGAGCAGCGTGGCAGCGTCTTCAAACACCAGTTGTTATACCACATTTAATGCTAAACTACCAGTTGTTATACCTCATTTGATGCAAAGTAAATTTTAATCTAAATAATTATTGTCTATAAGTGAAGAGAACACTCTAGAGTCCGCAGACTGCAGTCCGTGTTTTCCACCAAACCTTTAATTTATCAATTTAGAGCGATTTACAAAAGCAAATTCGAAGTCACAATGCAATATTCTCAACAGGCCCAGTATGGGAATTGCAAATTAAAAACTCGGGAAGGTCGAAAAAGGGTTTTTAATCACTTGATTTAATTTTAATCACTCTCTGCAATTTTACATACGATACACTTTTTTTACTTATTTACCCTACTTATTTACCTTACCTATTTACCTAACTTATTAATTTCACTTGTTTACCTTACTTATTTACCTTGCTTATTTACCATACTTATTTATCTTACTACTTTACCTTACTTATTTATCTTACTTATTTATCTTATTTATTAATCTTACTCATTCATCTTACTTATCTATCTTACTTATTTATCTTACTTGTTTACCTCACTTATTTATCTTACTTATTTATCTTAATTATCGTACATATGATCCTGAAGCATATGTGGCATGCATTGTTCTATGAAATAAAAAATGTCCATGTGATATAATATTAAATTTACTAAACTAAAAATGCCTATTGAAAAAATTCGATTATTAGCATTTATTGTAATAGGGATCACGTTTTACCCTCGTCACATTTGCCTTTAAATGAACCTTGCCTAAACAAGTTTGTGTAACATTGCCTCAACAACTGGAGACATGTATATTGAAAAAATCAGTCGTCTACATATTATTACATAAAACACAAGAAAACAGACCAGCATATTACCGTGCAAAGGGGTGTGCAATATTTATGTAGCGGGACATCCATAAAATTCTACTCTCATCGACATATGACCAAACGAAGACGTTGGATGAATGCGAATGAACCGAGCAGAAATAGGTGGAATAAGGGGGTTTTGGACGATTGAATTCCTGTCACTGTTCCCATCAAATTCCTGAAGACATTAAAAAATACTTGAGACTGCTGTAATATAACTTTAGGTTGCAATAATTATTATCAAAATGGAAAATGGAATTATTAAGCATTCGCCTAATCTCATTCCCCAAAACTGCGGTTTCCTCAGTCGAGGAACGAAGACTCTGGGATAATCAAAAATGATTCTGATTGGTCGTTCACGCCGCTGGAATGTTGTAACGCAATACAATCCCAATAAAAAAAGGAAACCAGAATTTCTGGGAGAAGGCTTGGATTATCCCAGAGGTTTGGCCGTGGGAAGAGATTGGGCATTTGCAACTTGCTGCAGCGCCAGAAGTTGCTGACAGCATCACGCACCAAAATTACCCATCGTGCGGATATTAGACGTTAGTTCTTGGGGGAAGGGATTAATGTAACATAATTATAATTATGCTTGGCATTTCTCAGGAAATTTTACCAATCTTGGGATAGAAAAAAACTCTGGATGTTTTTATAACATTATTGGACTGTGCAGTCGCATCTAATTGATGAAAATAAATTATTGCTGACAGGATTTTCTCACTTTATTTTAAAAGTTCAAACCGAAACATCCATGTTCACATAACATTGATTATTAAAAGTATGGACCCGTTTACAGTTCAGCCAATTAGTACGACACAGCTAAAATTGGTACCCGTGCCCAGTTTTATTAGTGTTTAGGCTACCAATACTAAGACCGAGCGCTGATGAAATTGCCACGCGTAGCTATTTTAGTCGTGCCGTGCCAATAAATGGACCGTGAAGTGTAAACCTGGCTTAAAAAGCTTCAAACCTTTTTTTAAAGCCCGTTTACACCACAATAGTTTTATTTGCACGGCACGGCTGAAATGGGTATCGGCGTATTAACTTTATCCGTGCTCGGCCTTGTATTAGTGGCTTGACCACTAATAAAACCGGGTAAGGGTACTAATTTTATCCTTGCCGTGCCAATAAATTGAGCGTAATTTAAACGTAGCTTTAGACCTTTTATAGAGCTTGTTTGTAAAGTTTTCGTCTAGGTTATTTTCATGCAATCATGAAAATTAATAGATAATTAGGCAGTTATACAGGGTGTATCAAAAAAATTTGAATCGAAATTTTGCGTGTAATAATGCAAAATGTATTTGACAAATTTGGTTGATTTTTACACCATTGTTAAGTTCATTTATTTCTCTTTCAAATGACACGTTGTACGTGTAATTTAGTTGAAGAATGAAGAAGTACTGGTTCAAGAAAAAAAATTCATAAAAATCATCATTTTCCGCCGATAGGAAATTGACGTTTGTTTTTATTGAAAATTAGTCCCAAAGGGCTTTAAAATCTAATCATTACTGAAGACTAAAACGCAAATTTATCGCAAAAATTCTACTTATTCAATATTCAACGATAGAAGTTTAAAGAACACAATTAATTAAATTTGCATTTTCTTTGTCTGGAGGTCTCATTTCGAATTCCCATCGGCAGAAAAATTTTATTTCGAGCAGCAATTTTTAAAAGACGATAACTCGGCCAGTTTTTGTCGATATAAGAACGGTATAATCGTAAACTAAATAAGCTGATCTTTGTTGTCATATAAAATTATATCGTTTACTTTAATATTTTATGCACAGCAGCTTGTAAAAGTTGGATTCGAATTTTTTTGACACACACTGTATACTCTCCGACAGCCTTCACTACATCACTACATTTGAATTTTTTTATACAACTGGGAATGCAACAGGGCTTCCTGTACTTTCTTTCTTGTGTTCAAGAACGTATTGTCTACTTGTTCGCTACGACTCTATGCAACATTTTTCGTTAAATTTTCGCATCCCAAAAATTTAATGTCAATTTCTAAAGAAATTATTTGCAAAAGATAAGTATTGGAGATACCTTGTTTGCTCCTTTTTGTGTGTAATCATGAAAATTATGCCCATCTTGGCTGAATGAAACGGTGTAATTTTTAACAAATTGATCTTTATCGCTGCGTCCTTGGGTACTGATGGCTGTGACCAGAGTAGATCTTTGGAAATCAACCTGAAGCCACTGATTAAGATTTTGTTTCCCTGATGACCAAGCTCCTGTTCTTCCATCTCGTGGTGTAAAATTCAATCTTCCATTAGCAGCCCGATGATTTATATTATGTTCATTTGAAGCCGTGATTTGATTATCATTAATATTACCATTTTCCATGCCGAGAGCCATTTTGCACGCTGTGTCAATTAACAAATCGTTGTATTCGTTAGTGATTAAAAATTTTTGACCCCACGCTCATACCTCTATATTTTTTCTCGTATTCCTCTAATATGTGTCACTGCTATATATAGACCAATCACGAAACTTAGTGACCGCGCCTTCGCAATACATGGAAACGAGGCTTATTTTGTATAAAAAAATATTTGTACCGTTTTTCGCCTTTGTTCTACATATTTTGCGATACCTTCAAGCTTGGTTTCATCGTTGTTATCGTAGTCATGTTAGGAAGTTTTGCCTTTCAATTGAGGCGTTTTTGTGGTGTTTTCATTAATCTGTTCGGCTACTTTCGTCGGGGAAATATGGAAAAGGTCGACACAAACTCAGGTAAAAATTTAGTTTTTTCCCAACTATTTCGTCTCAAGTTTTGGAAATATATTTTATTTTCTCTCTCTCTGATTTGTGCAAAATTTATGTTTTTGGGACAAAAATTATTGAAAAGTGACTGTCAGATTATATAATTTTCACACCTGATGACTGAAATGGTTTCATTTATTCAGATAAAGGTCTTGCATGCCTACCTGAAGCTGGGCCGAAATTAAAAAGTCGAATTCGAATGCATTTGAGTTTGCATCTGAGTTCTGCATTAATTTGTGTTAGTACAGAACACTATTCTTTATATCTTCTGCCATGCAATAGATGTTTAATAGGGGTTAAACAGGAATACTTGAAAAGGAAAGGATTCCGTTCAGCATCGTAAACGGAAAAACACTTGCAAACTCCGGTTTAAATATTTTTCGCCTTCGGCATTGCCATCATGTAAAGGTTTATCTTAAAAAACGCTGCAGCTCGCATTGTAATACCTTTATCTCCGAGCCGGCGCGAAGCGCCGTGCGAGGGTATTAATCCCGCCCGGAGATTAAGAATTACACGCGGGTATTCTGACACAACAAAGGCGAATCCAAAGTTGTCCAAATCATAGAGATTATAAATAACACTAGAGGGGCATTGGTATCGGAAACATCAGTCAAAAAAGGGAGCGCGATAATGGGGGGCAAATTCAAGTCCCGGATGCTAAACCAAGCGCTGATTGGCTAGATCAATGCGTCCTTAGCAACCACGTTAGCAACAATTTTAAAAATATATATATTCATTTTTTAGGTCGCTTTGCCGTTTTTTTAAGCAAAAAACAGTTTTTTAAAACTGGTTTTACTACCTTAGACATCCTGAAATGATATTTTAGGGAAAAAAAACATTTAGAGATAGAAAAAACTCGTTTAAAATGACATATTTTGGCCTCGGGCATCGTGAATGAGTGAACATCCGGGACTTGGATTTGCCCCCCATTAACGCGCTCCCCAATTTCTCCTCGATGACCCCTCTAGTGTTATTTATAATCTCTATGGCCCAAATGTCATGGACGTTCAATGGTCATGGTAGTTGTGCGCATGCGCGAAATTTGAACGAAGAAAGAACTGTCGTCTACAACTTTCTGATTAACTAAGACAAAAAGAGAGCATGCATGAGAGCGTCAGCATTTTAACCGTCATTTTGCAAACTATTGTTTAAAAATATAAAATGAAATCATGGAATCAAATATTAAAACAGTAATGAAAGATTTAAAGATCGTCACAGCACAGAAACAGTTGGTGAAATAGGAACGACTCGTAGTTTATAATCTTTGAAGTGGTAGGTGTCTATATTTTGATTATTCAGTGTCTGCTGTAAGAATGCATTGTTATGTTTACAAGTTCGAGCTTGGTATGTCGTTTTACAAGGAGCTAACCGACCGTTTGAGGCTTTACATCATCGCTTAAACTTTAAAAAGAGTTCTCAAAAGTGTACTTCAGAGTTTTGATAAAACGAATATCACTTTGCAGCTTATATAGTCGCTAAAATCATTGAATAAAATAAATAATCGAAAAACAACATTCGACTTTTAGTGCTTGTATGGTTATTATAATTATATGTGCCGTTTTGATGTTTTGAAGGTTTAGCTATAGAAAAGTTTAAAACTCACTTTAGCTGCAACGTAATGCAGCATGCAAACAGGTGATTTCTGTTCACCTTTACGACTGTCTTTGTTTTCGAAAAATTTGCACGAGTTATTTCATAATATTAGCGTAGAAAGCCGGTTAGGTCAGGGTAGCGCACGAAATGTTTTGCTTCGTTTAAAATAGCGAGGGGTTGCTGTATGCATGTATTTCTAGTAGGTATTTTACTATCCATGTCATGCATGTGTGCCAAGTTAAAGAGTTGTTTTGCTTTTCAGTCGGCATGACATCACTTGTACTGTAGTCTATAAATTATATACACAGGGAAAATAAACCAAAAAAATCCGTTGCTTATTTTATCTCTTATAGTTTTTGTCAACAGATTTCTACTAATTTTTTGCTGAGCTGTAATATTGCTGTCAGATTACAACTGATCGAGAAATGACCGTGACATTTCAATAATTTTTGTCACAAAAACAAAGATTTTCGCTGTACCCAGCGGTATATTTACATTAGTCTCATTAATATTTGAAGACATTAGCTAGTTTATAAAATTTCTGGTCTTTTTTCTCGAAAAATATCCCCATAATTTCTCGAAATTTATTTCGCCTTCATCCCTACCCTAGGTCTCCAATGAAACAGTGCGAAAAACGTTCTCGCCTACACACGATTTCATAGCTGAATGTAGTTTAAATACAATCTACGGTAGATTATTAAGCTCATACGAGAGGAAAATTTGGTCCCAAGAAAACTTGTCCAGATGATTTGACGTATTTAAAATTCTTTGACTGCTAATTCTGGCAAAAAAAATTGATTTTTTTTCTCCCCATTTTCACCAAAGTTATCTTTATGATATATTTCACCAGTACTTACCTTTTTGATCTAGGCAACTTATATTGAATTTCTGAAATTAAAAGCAATTTAAATTAAATAAATACAAGCCAATTTTTGCTAGGAAATTTTGCAAAATATTTTCGATATTGAAACTAATTTTTACTGTCTCGAGAACCTTTAATTCCGCTTCAAAGATGGCGCTCGAGTTGTTGTTTCAGTGTTGTTTCAGTGCATAGTGTTTACTGAAACAATAACGAATGCATAAGAATATTTTACCTTTCTCGGGTTATGAAAAAATATGTAATCGTAGGATGAATTTGGTTCCAATAAGTGCTTGGATGGAACGGTAATGACATTATGCAACATCTCGCAAGTGTAATTTCTTGAATTTTCTGAGATAAATTCCTTCTTAAAGTTGATAGATCTGCAACACGGTTCTTTGAGGCACTCCCCAGCACAGTCAACCCAATCATAGACAAGTGCGGTTGAGTGAATTGCTGTATTTAGCCTGAAACCTGAAGTTTGTCGAAAAATATATTCGAGGAGTTTAATGCTATTCTTTGTCATTGGCGTAGCCATCCTTACGATTTAGTCATGCTATGCAAATTTTATGTTATTATCAGTATTCATTTCTTTAGAAATTCATTGTTTTCACAGTCAATGAACACCAAAATATTGACATAGCATGACTAAATTGTCGGGTTGGCTACGCTATTGTTCTTTGTTTCTAAAATAAATTCTTCGTTATCGATATCACAAAATGTTGGAGACGATAATGAAAAGTCACGGTAATAAGGATTATAAAGTTGTCCTGATCAGCTTCACAACAGTCACCATGATGTTGTTTCACTTGTTTGACCAGTTATAAGCGTGTCTATTGACCGGAAAGCTATAGCGCCCTTATCATGTCATCATAACTGGCCGGAAAAATGACTGCATGGAAATGAGGTGAATAATGATATGCCGGTGTGATGACAAAAAATCAACAGGTTCTTCCTTAAAGGCGGTTGCTTTATAATCATGAAATGTTGGCCATGCATTGGTCACTCTTACCTTCAAAACTTGAATCATAACAAAAGTTAACACTGGCGACCGTGTTCTCCAAAGAAATTAAGAGTGTTATTAGAGCAGTAAAGAATCTTAATGTATGACCAATGAGCCTCATTGCTGTTTTAGTTAATTTCCTTTAAAATAAAAATATTATCAATAAAAGAAAAATATCAGACAGAAGATAATGTAGAAATTGTGATGTAATCAATAATTGTACCGACATTATGTTATTCGGCCTAAAGGTATCTAAGTAACTTATCTAAAAATACCGATTTTATTAATGTATTTAGAAAATATAGTTAGATAATGTAGCTAGATAATGTAGTTAGATAATGTAGGTTGATAATGTAGTTAGATAATGTAGTTATCGTAGCCAGCCCGATGATTTCATAGAGCTATGGCTATACTAATATTTTGGAGTTATTGATATAACTACATGAAAACAATCAATTTATAAAGTAATTTAACTAAACTGCATAAGATAAAGTTTTCAGGTTCGCCACGCCCCTGGTTTTAATGCTTTTAAAGATGATTTAAGGTCCGTTTTGTGCATATATTCTGCGCATAACAATGTTTGTTTACGTTTGTTATAATTATAATCTTTACTTGACTTATGTGTCGTTTTAATTTTCATATTTTCTTCTCCGTTCTCGCTCGACCGACTGTAATGAATATGCTTATTTTCTTTATATTTTGAAGAAAATATTATATTTTGAAGAAGATATATAAAGCGGAGATTGTAAATAAACCGTTACTTAAAACTTTATATTTTTGTAATTGTAGGACAAACGAGAAAGTAGCGTCTGTAGCGAAGACAAATAGCCTCGCCATCTCGGGTCCTCATTCATCAAATGAATTCTTGACGAATAATGATTCCTTTCAGCATAATATTGCTTTTATCTAGCAGCCTTATCTTCGTCACTCGCAATTCGAGCCTCTTCGCCTTGCGACATAAAATAAAAATAAATAATTGTGCTCCCGAACTGTCCGTTTGTAATACAACGCGCTAATACTGATCGCATATCATTAACGTTCCAAAAGTTGTTCCCCCTGGATTGTGTTTCTGCGCGGAATATATGCGTAGAACGGACTTTACATCATCTTTAAAATTTCTTATGATAGCTTTCGACTAAAATTTATTTCCGTGTTATGTTCCCACGAGCGCTTTGAAGTTCTTTTCGTATTGACTATTGTTTCTTGTTTTGACGCTCTGCGCACACGATCAAACAAGAAAATACACTAATATGCATGCATGTTTATAAATATTTTACGAAGAATTTTCGATTCATTAGAACCGCCGTTTGCTGCAATTATATTTAGTCCTAAAACAAATTTATTTCGTACCAATGAGTATAGCTTCTATTACGACTAGTCGTGCCCAGTGGATATAATTATCTTACGCGTTTTCATTCTACATAAAATTATAAGCCTACCGTTATATTGAAGTGTGGCGAAATTTACATGTTTTTTATTAATAATGGATGACTTGCGCTTTATATAGACTAATTTCTTATCTCAGCGATAAAGAGGAACTTTTCTGAAAGAGAAGCTTACTAAAATTAGTAGAAATGCCAAGTTTGGCTGCGAATTGTTGTAAATTTCAGAAAATATAGCAATGCGAAGTTGACGATTTTTGTATACTTTTGTAATGCGACAGGAGTTTTCAACTAATTTAGTTACACATTACCACACGTAATACAAAAGTATGCAAAATATACCAACTCTGCATGGCTATATTTTCCGTATTTTAACAAATTTCACAGGTTTGCATTTGCACTAACTCAAGTACACTCTTTCTATTGCTACTTCGTCTTATTACTTCGAGTCTAAGGCGCAACTCGTCCATTCTTCATACAAAATATTTTAGCATTTCAATGGTTCGGCTCATAGCGAAAATACAGCGTGAGATTCAGGCCATGCATATATCAATAAATACTCCCCCAACTATCGTTCAAGCTTGATGGGATGATTTCAGAATCAGTTATCCTTCTACTAGGAAACTGTTGCATCGAAACTCAACGAAACCATGAATGTAAGGTTTCATTTCTGAATATTTACTTGTATACGTACCGGTTATTGTCTTTGGATACAGTCAACGTAAAAACAGTCTTTCTTAATCAGTACCTTATCCTATAATATCCAAATGCGCGTGTTTACTCTTCCGGTGCAAAAAGTCGATTTTCTCAGCTAAAAGAACTCCTCGATTCTTATAGTAAACGCTACGGGGAAGCTATTAGCACCCGGAAACCTTAACAATTGCGTGTTTGAGTTCTTATTGCTAAACGACTTAATTGAAAACATCACATTACTTTAACAAGCTATTATTTATTTAAAATCATCGATTTTTGCATAATGTTGTTCATCCACTTGCAACAATGGCCCGAGTTATACTAGAAACGGATCATCCGTTTGACGGATTTAACATCTACACAGGTTTCGGTTTTTCACAGATATAAATTATAAATCGTGTAGAACATATTTTATCTAAACCCATATTATACATTTTTCCGAATAATTAGCTTTATAATCCAGTTTAGCAGAAAATTGAAATGATATGGAATTGCCCTCGCTCGCCCGCGTAAGCAAAGGCTATAGTGTGGATTATTGCCCCCGGTGCTCCAATGATTCCCACGCCACTTTCACCATTTTAGATTTTTAGTAATATTGTAAATACAATAATGGCGAACATAACGGCCTCCGAATTTGGTAGAATGTTTGAATTTAACTTTTGTCTTGGGTAGCGAGCCCATATAACAACGAATTTAACAAAATGCAATACAATTGCAACCAGGAAATTTTCAGGTGGTTAATTATAGATCAGACGCGTATGGAAAATTCGAGATAAATTCGAGATAGCCTCGCACTTGATTTATGCCTTATCCCCGTTTCGGTGATGAGATCATAGAGTTTGCTCTCGTCCCAAATTTCCCAATCTTTATCAACCTTTTTGAACAACCCCCCCCCCAAGTGCATGTAGCAATTAATTGCCTAAAAAAAATGGTTCTTCTTACACAACATTCATGTAAGTACTTGTGAAAATACGAAATACGCAGGTGATATGGAGAACTATGGAGAATTACAGATCGATACATGTGACCAAAATACTGCGCCATAATTTGAAGTTAGACTTATTAATTATTTATTTTTTAATTAATTTTATTTAAAATTAAGTAATTGTAAAGGTGCCAAATACGTGGAACGAATAAACTCAAATATGATAATGAGTTCACCCGTGAGATTTTTTCTTAAAAACCGAAAAATGATATGCATAAATGATTAAGAGGAAAATTATTCTTAATATTCTAAAACAAAATATGCTATATAAACTACAAAATACGCATGCCGAGGGAAAAGTTCAACGACATGCATCACCATCGAAAATTAGGAAGATTTGGAGGCGAACTCTCTTCAGGTGTCGCCATGATTTGGTCGTGTGAAGAACAGATTAAACTCCAATATATTTAGAGTAGATGGTAGAGAGGTTGCTATCTCTATTCTATTTGTGATGAGGTTTTTAGGGTAGTTTTGTTGTAACAGGAATTTTTCGAGTTCGGGAGTCGTTTTGTTTTGATTTGTGGTCTGACACAAAACAACATATGCGACGAGTCAGGCTGTAAGGGATGTTGGTTTTCGTGTGTTTGGGATGACACGAGTAAAAATTTGGTATATATATATATATATATATATATATATATATATATATATATATATATATATATATATATATATATATATATATATATATATATATATATATTGACTTTATGTAACACATTCCTTGTTGACGATGTTGTTCAATATATATTAAATTTTTTATAAAAGTAAGCTGTGAGCGTTGAATTTAGGTTTGGTGGGAAACGGTTGTGGGGGCATATTAAATTGTCGCATGCTCAAAACACCGAACAAAACAAGTCTGTTATTACTTATTATAATTTTATTATAACCACGTTACTATTTATGAAGGTTATGATTAGGCTAACACTGAGTGGTTTCATGGTATAATTTGTTAAAAATTATTTAATACTTAGGATTCTAAATTTAAAATTCAAATTGTGATCGCAGCCTTGTACCCAGGGTTCTGTGATCATATAACTTTAACAGCGTAAGCGGGATTACGGTTACGATGAATAGGATGCAACAGCTCCCTATTTTGAACAAACTGAAACAAGAGGTGTCTGCAAGAAGGGCGTTTTGAATCGTGTTAATTACATTATATTCTGGGCAGCGGCGGGCATATTGTGACAAATTTAAGAACGAGGTTGCCCGCTTATCTACGTCACCACTGACATACTAAATGCGGTATACGTATTTTAAACATTTTCTATCCCACAAATGAACTAAAAAGTATTGTTGGGATTACATGTTGCAATAAAATTAAAAAAGGAATTTAAATGAAAACGAAAAATTCTGAATCTTTGAAATATTTAATAGCTGCAATACACTTTTTATCTAATTACCTTACTCATCTACATTACTTATTTACCTTATTTATTGACCTTAATTGTTTACCTTACTTATTTACATTACTTATTAACCTTAATTATTTACCTTACTTATTTACCTGACTTATTTACCTTACTTATTTACCTTACTTATTTACCTTACTTATTGACCTTACTTATTTACCTCACTTATTTACCTCACTTATTTACCTTACTTATCGTATGTATATGATCCTGAAGTATGCAGTATGCATTGTTCTATGAAATGAAAAATGTCCATGTGATATAATATCAAATTTAGTAAACCAAATAATTATGCCTATCAGAAGAATTCGATTGTTAACAGGTATCGTAATAGGGATCACGTTTTATTCTTCTCAATTGTACCCTTAAGCGAACATTGCCTAAACTACTGCAGACATGTATATAGAAAAAATGTCGTTTAAATATTACTATGAAAAACACAAGAAAACATACAAGCACATTACCGTACAAAGGGGTTTCCTTTTTCCAATATTTATGTAGCGGGACATCCATAAAATTCAACTCTCATTGAGATATGTTTATTCCAGGCCGTTGGATGAATGCGAATAAACCGAGCAGAAATATGAGGAATCACCATGTTATGGACAATGGAATTTTTGTCTGTGTTGCCTTTAAATACCTGAAGACATTAAAAAATACTTGAGGCTGCTGTAATATCTATCTTTACATCAAATTATAATTATTAGCAAAATGGAAAATGGAATAATTGAGCATTTGCCCAATCTCATTCCCCGAAACTGCGATTCCCTCTTGCGAAGAACGAAAGCTCTGGGATAATCAAAATCAAAAATGATTCTGATTGGTCGTTCACGCCGCTGGAATGTTGTAGGATTTCTGGCGGAAGGTTTGGATTGTCCCAGAGCTTTGGCCGTGGGAAGAGATTGGGCATTTGCAACTTGCTGCAGCCAGAAGTTGCACTCACGCCATCACGCGCCAAAATTACCCATCCGGGTATTAAACGTTATTTCTTGGGGGAAGTGTTAACCTAGCATAGTCATTGCATTTCTCGGGGAAATTCATCAATCTTGGAAAAAGAAAACCCTGATGTTTTTATAACATTAGTAGACTGTGAAGTCGCAACTAATAGACCTTTTTCATAATGACGTCAAACGCGGAAAGTCTGATCTTACACGAAGTTTGATTAGCTCGATAGTTTTGTGGAGCCAATCAAATTCCGTGTATCATCAGACTTTCCGCGTTTGACGTCATTATAAGAAAGGTCTATTGACGGAAATCAATTATTACTGACAGGATTTTCTCACATAATTTTAAAAGTACAACGCCAAACATCCATGTTCACATAACATTGATTATTAAAATTATAGACCCCTATACAGTACAGCCAATTTATGGGCACGAACCAGCTAAGATTAGTACCCGTGCCCAGTTTAAGAGTTTAGGGTGCCTGTACAAAGACCGAGCGCTGATAAAATTGGCACGGGTAATTATTTTAGCAGTGCCGTGCCAATAAATGGAGTGTAAACAGGGCTTAAACAGTTTCAAAGCCCGTTTACTCTGCACTCAATTACTTGGCACGGCACGTCTAAAATGGGTATCCGTATTAACTTTATCCGTTCTCGGCCTTTGTATTAGTGGCCTGAACACTAATAAAATTGGGTACGGGTACTAAATTTATCTTTGTCGTGCCAATAAATTGAGTTTAGTTTAAATGGGGCTTTAGATCTTATATAGAGCCTGTATTTAAGGTTTTCGCCTAGGTTATTTTCATGCAATCAGTAGAATTAATAGAGAATCATAGGTAGCTGGTATCCGAGAAATTGCACTTCATGTAACATGGCTGCTTATAATTCCTTTTTCCTGTTGAAGAACGCATTGTTTTCTTGTTCGCCGCAACTCTGTGCAAAAATTCCTCGTTATCATTTAATGTCAATAAGTCAACATAAATTATTTGCGAAAGATAAGTATTGGAAAAACCTTGACTGCTCCTTTTCGTGTGTAATTCTGAAAATTATACCCATTTTGGCTGAAAGAAACTGTGTAATTCTTAACAAACTGTCCTTTATTTTCGCGTCCTTGTGTACTGATTCCTGTGACCAGAGTAGATCTTTGGAAATCAACCTGAAGCCACTGATTCAGATCGTTGTTTTTTGATGACCATGCCTCCCCTGTTTTCCCATTTCCTGGTGTAAAATTCAATCTTCCAAAAACCGCCCAAAGACTTGTACTTTTATGTTCACTTGAGGCCGTGATTTGACTATCATTAATATTGCCATTTTCCATCCCGAGAGCCATTTTGCACACTGTGTCAATCAAGAAATCGTTGCAATCGTTAGTGATTTTAAATTTTTGACCTTCCACTCATACCTTTATACCTTTATACCTTTTGATATTCTTTAATATATATAAACTCCCAGCGCGTTTTGGCTTGATCAATGCCTCACCTTACGTGAGACGCGGACGTGAGACATGCATCACGTTCGTGCACCACTGCATGCATGCGGATAAGTTTTAACATCACCCAGTAAATCTCCTTTTCTCATTTTCGCTGTGTCCGGCGGAATATTTACATCAGTTTCATTAACATTCCAAGACATCAGTTTATAACATTTCTGGTCTTTTTTCTCGAAAAATATCTCGTATTCTCTCGAAACACATTTCGCCTTCATCCCTACCCTAGGCCTTCAATGAAACAGTGCGATAAACGTTCTCGCCTACACACGATTTCGTAACTGAATGTAGTTAAATACAATCTATGATATATTTAGCTCATACGAGAGGAAAATTTGATCCCAAGAAAACTTGTCCACATCATTTGACGTATTTAAAATTCGTTGACTACTAATTCTGGCAAAAAAATCTGATTTTTTTTCTCCCATTTTTCACCAAAGTTATCTTTATGATGTATTTCACCAATACTTACCTTTTTTATCTAGGCAACTTATATTGTATTTCTGAAATTAAAAACAAATTAAAAATTAATACAAGCCAATTTTTGGAAGGAAATTTTACAAAATATTTTCGATATTAAACTACTTTTTACTGTGCCGAAAGCGGCGCTTTTTATACGGTGTTTTTAGCTCCGGACCTTCAATGGCCGGCTTAAATTCGGCTTCAAAGATGGGTGAAGGCTATTTCAGATACGTCAGAGCACCTCGTTACAAGCCCTCTAAGTCGTACGCGGCCATAATATCCAATATGGCGACCAGACATGAGGAGTGTATACTTTAAAAATCCTTAAAAATGCTTAAAGTGTATATGCAATTTTAGTATTTATGAGTAGACTTTGTAGTTTAATTTTTTCCCACAGTAAAATTCATTTCAGAATAATTAATACAAGTACATAATTGTATACTTAATAGTATATAAGGATAAACTTACTGTTCCTGCTGTCACTTGCCAGCCTAGCCGATATGTGTATATATATATATATATATATATATATATATATATATATATATATATATATCTGCCAGAAATTACTCCGAGGCACCGGAAGCAATGGGGGGGGGGGGGGGTAGCATAACAGGTAAGACACTTTAGTTTACTAAGTCTGTCCTTATTCAATTATTGAAAATTATATGAACAAACAGCAACAAACTAGACAATCTTAACTTGGAAAAGTTAGACTGGTAAGATTCGTACATTCTATGCCCATGAGCATATTTAGACCAGGCTCCCCCCGGCACCCTTGAATTTACTTGTGTTAGTTACTCTGAAAGTGATTACTTTGGAATTACTGAGTTAATTAGAAAGGTCTAACCCCTTTCTCAAGGTAACAGTCATATTTTGTCAGCAAATAACTAACCTCAATCAGGGGAAAATTGGCAACAGGATGCAGTAAAATGTGTTTCCGAGAGTCTTAACATTCCAAATCTTTCTAGAGGCGAGCAGACGCTAAACCCTCTAATATGTTTGTGAACAAAATGACATTTCTGCTTACACCTTGAAAAACTCCTAAGCCCCACAAAGGGGTTAGACTTTTCTAATTAAATTTAACACAGTACTTAATGGTGTAATGAGTTTTAACAAATGTATATGTTGCTCATTGAATAAATAAATATAATTGCTTTTCTTCAGTTATTTGAGCCAGAAAATTCGGACAGATGTTTATTAGCTCCAAATTAATCACTTTCCGAGTAACTAACACAAGTAAATTCAAGGGTGCCGGTGGGAGCCTGCTCTATATATGCTCATGTGCATAGAATGTACAAATCTTACCAATCTATAACTTTTCCAAGTTAAGATTGTCTAGTTTGTTGCTGTTTGTTCATATAATTTTCAATAATTGAATAAGGACAATAAATTAAAGTGTCTTACCTGTTATGCTACAACCACCCCCCCCCCCCCTTTGATTGCTTCCGGTGCCTCAGAGTAATTTTCTGGCAGATATATATATATATATATATATATATATAAATATATATATATATATATATATATATATACGCACAGCGGCTAGGCTGGCAAGTGACAGCAGGAACAGTAAGTTTATCCTTATATACTGTTAAGTATACAATTATGTACTTGTATTAATTATTCTGAATGAATTTTATTGTGGGAAAAAGTTAAACTACAAAGTCTTCTCTTATACTAAATTTGCATATAAACGTAACGTATTTTTAAAGATGAGGTAAAGTCCGTTCTGCGCATATATTCCGCGCAGCAACACATTCCATCAGTGGGGGAGCAACTTTTGGAATGTTAATGATATGCGATATTAGCGCGTTGTATTACAAACGGACAGTTCGGGAGCACAATTATTTTATTTTACGTCGAAAGGCAAAGAGGCTCGAATTGCGAATAACGAAGATAAGGCTGCTAGATAAAAGCAATGTTATGCTGAAAGGAATGCTTCGAGAATTTATTTGTTGGATGAGAACACGAGATGGCGAGGTTATTTGTCGTCGCTACAGACGCTACTTTCTCGCTTGTCCTACAATTACAAACACTGTTTATAAAGTTTTAAATAACGGCCGGTTTATTTACAAGCTTCGCTTTATATCTTCATGTCTGGTCGCCATATTCGATGTTCTGGCGGCGTACGACTTGGAGGCCTGGTAACGAGGTGCTCTGACATATCTGAAATAGCCCTCACCTCAAAGGTTGCGCTCGAGTGATTGTTTCAGTCAACAATACCTAATGTTTAAGAATATTTTACCTTTTTTGGGTTATGAAAAAATACGTAATCGTAGGATGAATTTGGTTCCAATAAGTGCTTGGATTGATCGGTAATGACATTATGCAACATTTCGCAATTGTAATTTTCTGAATTTTCTGGGATGAATTCCTTCTTAAAGTTGATAGATCTACAACACGGTTCTTTGAGGCACTCCCCAGCACAGTCAACCCAATCATAGACGAATGCGGTTGAGTGAATTGTTGTATTTAGCCTGAAACCTGAAGTTTGTAGAAAAATATATTCGAGGAGTTTAATACTTAGCTATTCTTTGTTTCTAAAATAAATTCTTCCTTATCACAAAATGTTGGAAACAATAATGTAACGCCCGCTGGCTGATACGAGGTGGAGCCGAAGAATGGGGCAAAGGTAGTATCGAGATGAAACGGTAATAAGGATTATAGAGTTGTCCCGACTGGCCTCACAACAGTCACCATGATGTTGTTTGACCAGTTCAGCGTGTCTATTAGGCAGAAAGCTAAATATCCTTTACCATGCTATTATAACTGGTCAGAATAATGATTGGCAATGAGGTGAATAATATGTAATGCCGGTGTGATGACAAAAAAATCAACAGGTTCTCCCTTACAAAGGCTGAATAGTTAAAATGACGGCCATATTGAATCGCCATTGTTACCATAACAACGGTAATGACGTGATACTCAAAAACAATTTTCGACTGTTAGAATGTTGGTTAATATATCTGGGAAATTTCTTTTCCTTAGCAAGATATCTCGTGCTAAAATCTTAAATCAAAACCACAAGTTTTCAATATTTTAAAAAATTGTAGGGAGCCACCTTAAAGGCGGTTGCTTTATAATAAGAAAATTTTGGCAATGCATTGGTCACTCTTACCTTCAAAACTTGAATCGTAACAAAAGTTTACACTGGCGATCGTGTTCTCCAAAGCAATTACGAGTGTTATTAGAGCAGTAAAGAATCTTAATGTGTGACCAATGAGACTCATTGCTGTTTTAGTTCATTTCCCTTAAAATGAAAATAATTATAATCAATAAGCAAAATATAAGACTGAAGATAATGTAGAAATTGTGATGTAATCAATATTTATGACGACATTATATCTTATCTATCTTATCCATACCGATTTTATTAATGCAGTTAGATAATGTAGTTAGGTAATGTGGTTAGACAATGTACTTAGATAATGTACTTAGATAATGTAGTTATAGATAATGTAGTTAGATAATGTAGTTATCGTAGGCAGCCGATGATTTCGTACAGCTATGGCTATGCTGATATTTTTTAGTTTGATGTAACTAAACACAATCAATTTATAAAGTAATTTAACTAAATGGCATAAGATAAATTTCAGATTCGCCGCACCACTGGTTTGAGTGCTTTTAAAATTTCTAGTTATGATAGCTGTCGACTAAAATTATTTTCCGCAATATGTTTCTATACGAGCGCTTTGAAGTTCTTTTCGTATTGTTTCTTGTTTTGACGCTCTGCGCACACGATAAAACAGAAAATACACTAATATGCATGCATGTTTATAAATATTTTACGATGAATTTTCGATTCATTTGAACAGCCGTTTGCTAGAAACGTTTCAGTCCTAAAACAAATTAATTTCGTAAAGATCAGCACAGCTACTATTACAATTGGTCGTGCCCAGTGGCTATAAGTATCTTATGCTTTGTCATTAACATAAAATTATAAGCCTTCCGTTATCTTGAAGTGTGGCGAAATTTACATGTTATGATTAATAATGGATGACTTGTGCTTTATATAGACTTCTTATCTCAGCGCTAAAAAGGAAATTTTCTGAAAGAGCAGCTTATTAAAATTAGTAGAACTGCCAAGTTTGGCTGCGAATTGTGGTAAATTTCGGAAAATATATAGCTATGCGAAGTTGATAATTTTTGTATACTTTTGTATTACGACAGAAGTTTGCAACTAATTTAGCTACACATTTCCACACGTAATACAAAAGTATGCAAAATATACCAACTTTGCATGGATATTTTCCGTATTATAAAAAAATTTCACAGCTTTGCATTTGGACTAACTTAAGTACACTCTTTTTAATTAGAACTTCGTCTTATTAATTCGATCAAAAATTAGTCTAAAGCGCAATTCGTCCATTCTTCAAACAAAATATTTTAGCAATTCAACGGTTCTGCTCATAACGAAAATACAGGGTTAGATTCAGGCTATGCATGCATATATCTATAAATCCCCCCCCCCCCTCCAAACTATCGTTCAAGCTTCTGCCTTGGACGAGAAAGGCTTGTCGTATTTGAAGAAATATAGCAGTTAACCAACAAATCTTTTTCACACGATCGAATGGATATCGCATAATTTTAACGCCGATACTTGTAAATTTCTGGAAAAGGGATGATTTCAGAATCAGTTATCCTTCTACTAGGAAACTGTTGCATCGAAACTCGACGAAACCATGAATGTAAGATTTCATTTCTAAATATTTACTTGTATACGTACCGGTTACTGACTTCGTATATACAATCAACGTTAAAACAGTCTGTCTTAATCAGTAACTTATCCTATAATATCCAAAAGCGCGTGTTTACTCTTCCTGTACAAAAAGTCGATTTTCCCAGCCTAAAGAACTCCTCGATTCTTATAGTAAACGCTACGGGGTAGGCCGGGTAGCTATATTAGCACCCGCAAACCTTAACAATTGCGTGTTTGAGTTCTTATTGCTAAGCGACTTAATTGAAAACACAACATTACTTTAACAAGCTATTATTTATTTAAAATAATCGATTTTTCCATGTTGTTCATCCATTTGCAACAATGTCCAGACTTATACTAGAAACGGATCATCCGTATGACGGATTTAATATCTACACAGGTTTCGGTTTTTCACAGATATAAATTATAAATCGTGTAGAACATTATTTTATCTAAACCCATATTATACATTTTTTAGAATGATAAGCTGTATAATCCAGTTTAGCAGAAAATTGAAATAATATGGAATTGCCCTCGCTCGCCCCCGTAAGCAAAGGCTATAGTGTGGGTTATTGCCCCCAGTGCTCCAATGATTCCCACGCCACTTTCACCATGCACTTTTGATTTTTAGAATACAATGATGGCGAACATAACGGCCTTTGAATTGGGTAAAATGTTTGAATTTAACTTTTACCAGCATGAAGTAGCGAGCCCATGCGTAACAACGAATTTAACAAAATACAGGGCCGTAGCTAGAAGCTTAATTGGGGGGGTGCATATTCATATATTCGTCTTATGCCCGAATGATTTCTTTTGTATGCTATTGTTCCTACGGTATACAAACATGAATATATGAATATACACCCCCCCAATTAAGCGGTCTAGCTACGGCCCTGACAAAATACAACACATTCCAATATAACCAGGGAGCAGCGTGGCAGCGTCATCAAACAACTTAGCATCAAATGTGGTATAGCAACTCCCTGAAGTAAACAAAACACTTCTCGACGTTTCGACCTGAGGGCCTTCTTCAGGAGAGTTGATATAATAGTTTAGGCAGTTGCCATGCCACATTTAGTTTGTTTAGACTGACTAGGTTAGGCAGTTGTTATATCACATTTGATGCTAAAATACAATACAATTGTATAACCAGGAAATTTTCAGATAGTTAATTGGGAGTATCCAGCTGTAGCAAAGACTATTATGTGTATTACAGCTACTGTATAAATACGTTCAAAGAGCATAAAAAAAACTTATAAGCATATAGAGCGTAAAGCACTTTGAAAAATGCACGGCGTTGCCAAATGGCGTCCTGTCTCTGTAGGCCTTGAAGCTGAAGACCAGCAAAGTGCGGATCTTTCTTTGCAAAGGTAGCGATCTATATCCAGGGCCGTCGGAGTGGGGGAGTACCTGTTAGGGCGCGCATAAATATTTTTTGTGATCTTTTCGGAAAATACTGTTGAAGCTAAAATTCCAAAATTCAACCCAGATGATTATATAATTAACTTAAAGGGTTGTTTTTCGTTGGATCCACCTTTGCAATTTGAGTCCCCGTTTATGCTATGCTGGATTCACATGACATTAGTTTTAGGGTATATCTCTGTCTCCTCAAACTCCCGTTGGCTTCAAAAGCCGGTTAGCTTAAACCTGGGTTAAAGTAAATATTTACATGAATTTTTATAATTGCTTGTCTACCACAGAACTGACTATCTTTTTTCATAAATATTTTGTGAATCGATAAAAGTCGTGGTGAAGTCGTAGAAGTTGGAATGACGATGCTCGCGAATTCCTGGATGAAATTTGACCTGTTGTACGTGTTCACACAAGGAAGCCAGACAAATTCTAACACGGACCTATGAATTCGTGCGCTACTATGTGAACGTATAGCCTATAGATAATACAGTACGGCTTTATAAATAACATACGCCAGAAGTTAATTGGATCTGACAAAATTGGATTGTGAAAGCAGACGTTAAAACCAAATTAATGCTCTACAGGGTGTCTCAAAAAAAACGCAACCACTTAAATATGCAAGACATTAATACAGCTCTAAAGCGCAATAGATAAGCACCTCTGGGAATTGAAAATGGCTCTTAATCCTTCATTTCAAATGCTAAAAGTCATTTTAGTTGAGCTGTGGTGCAAACCCGAACAATATTATTATTCTGGCATATTTAAGTGGTTGCGTTTTTTTTTTAGACACCCTGGCGTGGGCGAATATGAAATAGTGGCTGATATCCATGATCTTGTTTACTGCTTAAAATAAACGAGTCTTGAATTCTTTCTTTTGAATTTGTTGTAAAACATGCAAATTACGAAAGTTCTACTTCACCTTAAAACAATAGCATTTATTTCCAGTCAACTGCGACTAATGAGAGCCTGAGCTTCAGAATTTGTTTTCAGAATTTAGAGCGCGTGTCTGGCGTGTTTTGACCACAACAAGCAATTCTTAACATTTTATTGTAAGAGCAAGACGTGTTTAACAACATTCTGGGAACAAATCCACAAGCTCAAAAGAAGCGAACGTTTCAATATCAACTAACAGGTCGCCGATCTTGTTAGAGCTTTTTATGGCTAAGTCTCGATCTACAGGTATTTAAAAGCAACCGATTTCTAAATGTACTCCGGCCGCAATGGATCAACGCTCTGTGTTGAATTTGAATCAGCTTTGCTGCTTGCTACAACATGGACCGATTTTTGTCGCTTTTTGTGCCATAAAACGTTCTCTGTGACTCATACTTGCATTTCATATCATTTACAGCGAGAATTCGGAGGGAAAAACCTTAAATTTTGAAGCAATTGTGACTATGCGTTCAGGTTAGTCCGTGCGAAATTGCATTTCAAATGCAACTTTCTGCATATGGGCCTGTGTAATAAGCTTGTAAACTGCTTTGATAGAGATTTCTTTATTGGAAACTTTTAACGTATTCTCATTACCTACAAACTTTTCTCATTTGAATTTCATGAAAACTTTGCAACGAAATGACCTTGTGGTCTGAATTGTGTTATATTATATACACAGTAACTCGTTGAGCTTTATATTTCGCTCAAATTTAAGGTCGTATACACGGCAAGATACAAGATCATATTACCTTTTCTATAATAATTCGCAGACGCTTTTATGCTGTTTACAAATGTTGGTATTGTAAAGACAAAAGCATCGTATAGGGCCTTGCAGGGGCGTGATTTAGTTCGAGAACTATGGTTTTTGACAAATTTATGTGGAAGGCGAGTGTAAAAATGATCGAAATGGTCTAGAAACTCGATCAACAAAGATCTAGACATATAGGCCTTCCATCATGTTAATAGGTTTGAATTTCTGCATGTACATTTCTTGAATATTCACTTACCAATAATCCGTTTTTCATTTATTAGAAAGAATCGTTCGCTATCTTCGAAAGAAAAGCACTAAGGCTTAAACGTCGTATTTTGGTCGCGTCGAATGCAATTCAAACAATAGATAACAGGATGATAGTGAAGCTTAAAGAGGCTTATCAGCTCATTATCTATTCATTTGAATGCATTCGACGCGACGAAAATGCGACCTGCTAAATTGTATAGGATCGGAATTAAACACACGAGTCGTCTCTTCAGGGAACATTTTCGCTAGTTTGTTTGGCATATGATATCAAAACTTTTTCATGTAACATGCAATGTGATGCCTAGACTATTGCATAATATTCTGTCACCGTTCCTTGAGTTTCAATTTTCGTACCTACAGTATAGGCTTCTAACCAGTTGGATTTAACTGTTCGCTTCCAAACTATGAAGAAATACGAGTGAAAAGGGCCCCTTATTTGTATATCTGTGTTGAAGCATCAGCTATAAGCAAAACTATCCACTCCCGTGAGCGCTTAAACATACGAGCATGACAAACAAACTTTGCAAGGGGTTTAAACTATACAATGCTTTAGTGTGCATCGGTTTAAAACAAAGAAAAAACACGCGAGTGTAATGATTGACGTTATTAGGCGGGAGCATGGGGACGAGAGATATAGGAGGAGGAAGCGTGTTAAAGTTTGGGGGACGTTTTGTAGTTTAAAATATAAAGTATAAAATATGAAATCAGAGTGTGTTTAATTATTACATTGGCGACGAGGACAAAAAATTTTTACAATGAATGGCTTACAGCCAATGCCTTTGTTCGAACCGAAGGCTGATCCAACGAATACAAGCGCTCGATGGACACAATGGATTCAACGTTTTAAAACATATTTAGTCGCTACAAATGTGAAGGATACTGCACGTCAAAGAGCACTTCTACTGTACCAAGCTGGGCCTGAAGTTCACGAAATATTTAAAACACTGCCAGACACAGGAGATGAGAAAGATTACGAAGCAGCTGTCAACGCTCTCACTGCATATTTCGAACCGGAGAAAAATCGTATTTACCAAACATATATGTTTAGACAAGCAGCGCAACAAGATAATGAAACAATAGATGAATTTCACACACGCTTGAGAAGATTAGCAAAGCATTGTGAGTTCACTGATGTTGAATTTGAGATAAAAATGCAAATTGTGTGCAATGGGACATCTTCAAGACTGCGTAAGAAAGCGTTGAAAGAAAGCAATTATTCACTGAAAGATATGTTGATCGATGGTCGCAAATCTGAAACCAGTATAGCCCAAGCCAGTGGGATGGAAGAAAAATTTAAAGATGTACAACTTAATCAAGTGGAGAGAAGACCAGCTGAAGCTATGTGTTATAATTGTGGATTTGCTTACCCTCATGGGGATCGCCCGTGTCCAGCTGCCAATTCAACTTGTAACGCGTGTGGTATACTTGGTCATTTTTCGAGAGTGTGTCGAAAGAAACAATCGCGTCGTTTTCCCAAGTCACAACTTCCAAAAGAATCGCCCCGACGAAGAGAACAATCAAAAGAACAATTGAAATCAGAATCCAAACAAAAAAATCATGCACGGGCAGTCAACAGATATTTGCTTATGGCTCGGACAAACCACTACCTCTTAAAGGTCAATTTCAGGCAACGTTGGAGTCGAACAAACGTTATACTGTCTCGGTTATTCATGTTGTCGAAGGTGGCTCTGGAAATCTACTTAATGCCAAAACCGCTCAAGATTTGGCATTAATTCAATTGGTAAACAAAGTCACTGAACTTGAGACGCCACTGAAACCGGAAGTTTCTAAACCGGAAGTCATTTCGAAGAATATAGAAAACACCGGAAAAAGCAATAAAAGCGCGGATAAAAGCCAGCCAGCGCTTGCATCAACGCCGAAATGTGCCGATAAAGATATCCAGGAAATTATTGATAAATATGCAAATGTTTTCGTTGGTGAAGGAAAATTGAACACTCAACAAGTCGGTTTGCATATTAATAAGAATATTAAACCGGTAGTTCAGCCGCAGCGCCGGATACCTTATCATATTCGCAAAGATGTATCAAAAGAGCTAGAAAAATTGATGGAGAAAGATATGATCGAAAGAGTCTGTGACCAACCTACACCCTGGATTTTGCCCGTTGTGTGCACCCCAAAGAAGGATGGCGGAACACGAATCTGTGTTGATATGAGGGCAGCCAATGAAGCGATTGAGCGCGAAAGACATATCATGCCAACCCTTTCCGATTTTCGTGCTGAGATGAATGGATCGAAATATTTCTCGAAGATCGATCTAAAACAAGCCTACCATCAGTTAGAACTGACCGAAGAAAGTCGCTACATATAGTTTCCTACGCAACGAGATTAACTTCTATGGTCTCATCTTTACAGCAAACGGAACAAGACCTGACCCAGCAAGAGTAGAAAATTTGGTCAAAGCCAGAGCACCAAAGAATGCCAGCGGAGTACGCAGTTTTTTGGGTCTAGCCAACACGTGCCGAGAGTATGTTCCAGAGTATGCTGAAATTACTACACCGCTGAGGAATCTCACAAGAAAAAGTGTCGCTTTCACATGGAACAATACTCACCAAAGAGCCTTTGAGAAGATCAAAAAGAAATTCACACAAGCTCCTACTATGGCCTATTTCGATACAGAAAAAAGAAGCTTGCTTATTGTTGATGCATCGCCTTTGGGAATTTGTGCAATCTTAGCACAACGAGAGAAGTCCGGAGAATTGTACCGTATTATCTCCTACGCAAGTAGAGCCCTGTCTCCAGTTGAAAGTCGATATTCTCAGACAGATATTGAAGGTTTGAGTCTAGTTTGGGGAATTGAACACTTTCGACTGTTCCTTCTGGGTAGTGAGTTCGATGTCTATACTGACCATAAAGCTCTGGAAGCAATCTTCAATAATCCGAAATTTAAGCCTCCAGCTCGTATAGAGCGCTGGATGTTACGGTTGCAACCGTACAACTTCCGTATGATTTACAAGAAGGGAACAATTAATGAAGCTGATTATTTGAGCCGTCATCCTACCAGCACTCAAGAAAAAACCACAATCGAAGAAAAGATTGCAGATAATTATGTAAACTATATCATTAACAACGCCGTACCGAAGTCAATGACACTCCAAGAAATCAAGGATGCCACCCTGTCAGACGCAACTTTAAGCAGAGTTGTGGAATGCTTAAAAACAGGGAAATGGGACGAGAAGGATGTAGAACTCAAATCTTATCACATGTGTGCGGAAGAACTAACAGCAACGAAAGCAGGAGACCTTCTTCTGAAGGGAAGCAGAATTGTTATACCAAAATCATTACAAGACCGTGCAACGCAACTTGGCCATGTGGGACACCAGGGAATAGAAAAGACTAAAGCGTTATTACGAGAGAAAATTTGGTATCCTGGAATGGATAGTAAAATTAAAACCTTCATTGAAAACTGTGCGGCTTGTCAAGCTGTTGGTCCCGGTAGTCCACCTGAACCGATGAGGATAACGCCTACAGCAACGGAGCCATGGCAAAGCTTGGCACTCGATTTTTATGGTCCTGTTCCCCACAGTGGACAGTATTTACTTGTTGTAACCGACACGTATTCTAAGTTTCCTGAAGTGGAAATTGTGAAGTCAACTTCAGCGAAGGCCTGTATCCCTAAGCTAGACCGTATATTTGGAACTCACGGCATTCCAAAAACAATTAAAACTGATAATGGCCCACCTTTTTTTGGGGATGACTTCAAAAGATACATGGCTGCTTTGGGAATCGAATGGACCAGAAGCACTCCGTTATGGCCCCAAGGGAATGGTAATGCCGACTGCCGAGAGTGTGATGAAGCCGCTAGGAAAAGTGATAAAGACTTCTGTGTTAGAGGGAAAGAATTGGAGACAAGAACTTCAACGATTCTTATTAAATTATCGCTCAACGCCGCATGCCACTACTAAGATACCTCCATGTGAGTTACTGTTCAACCGAAAGGTTCAAGGAAGTCTACCTGAGCTATCAACAAAGAAAATCGTTAACAAGCATCAAAGCGCTAAGGAAAACATTGAGAAGAGGAAGATCAGTAATAAGCAATATTATGATGTCAAGAATAACACCAAAACATCCACAATCAAGGAAGGTGACATTGTTATTTGCAAACAAAAACCAATTAACAAGCTATCTCCTAGATTCAATCCTGAGCGATTTACGATCGTGAAGAGGAAAGGAGCAACAGCCACAGCTAGAAACGACAGACGTACTATCACACGCAATGTGTCTCATTTCAAAGTAGTTAAAACTGCGGATGAACAAAGTAGTGACGAAGAGAAGCCCAAAAACGTGGATGATGCACGAAGTAACGGAGTCGAAGATGAGAATCATGAGATGCAGGATATTGTAGAACACCAACCACCACCAAGAAGATCAACGAGAAAACAACAACCTGTAAACAGATTTGGTAACCCAATACCATCTGGACTAGTGTCCTAAAACTTGGGAACTGGGAACAATAACAAACATTTCCTAGTTATTCAGTTGAGTTTTAAAAAAAAAAAAAAAAAAGAGAAAGCGATGTAATGATTGACGTTATTAGGCGGGAGCATGGGGACGAGAAATATAGGAGGAGGAAGCGTGTTAAAGTTTGGGGGACGTTTTGTAGTTTAAAATATAAAGTATAAAATATGAAATCAGAGTGTGTTTAATTATTACAGCGAGCGTTCATGATATAGCTTGCACCAGAAATCCTGAAAGTTGATGTGAGTTGGTGTTGACTAAATGTGAAAATATCTGCATCTAAAAAATACCGCTGAATAATCGGAACGCATGCGATTGAATCAGATCAGGAAATTTTTATTAGGCTTTTCGATATAAAATATGCGTTGAAAATGTGGACAAGTGAAGTCAAGATATTTGAAGATGAAATGAAATAAACTCTTATGAACTGACACTGAACATTCTGAAATATGTTAAAATACCGGCAAACACCGCACACAACTGGCCGGATTATTGATCTTCCTTCTACTCCAGAATGACCGTTAAAGTTGATTTGAAGTCGTTTTCTGCAGGCTGGATGAGCGGTCACAGTGTTTGAAAACGTGAACTGGTGTCTAAAAAACGACTGGCGATTCT